GATGATAGTAGAAATGAAAATGGGATACTCAAATGAGTGACGAAGCAAACGACCTGAACGATATATTCACTTCACAAGTTTCGGATCCCATTTTCACAATCACTAACCTTACAAGATAATATCACTTGCTCCAACACATAGGTGCCACTGGAGCCCGAATTAACGACTCACCCGAAATCTACATAGAGACGGAGACTACAGAAAACACCCGATGGGCACTCACGGTGAGAAGTTTAGTTTCTTATCTTGGAATGAAAAAAAACATGAAGACTCTAAGCGAGGGCAAATGTTGGGGATTAGGTAGTTGATGATTAATCTGGCGAACACTACAAAAGCTCAAATTTCCAGTATCTGCAGTTGACTTGTATTGCTGAATGGTCCCATGGTAATGTATTCACAGAGCTGATTCAGTCGAATTTGTATTTGTTTTTCCCCTCCGACACTCAAGCTTACTGTTGCGTATGATGAAAAATCTGTGACTTTTGAGTACTTATATTTGGTTGAGTGGGAAACAATTACGTCAAACCTTATCAAATGATCGGAAGTATCAAATATGATTCGGTCCCAAACTACAAAACTATTCGTTTCAAAAAAAAATTTCAACATTCCATTTCGTCTATGCTTGTGAAGCACTGAGGATGTCCCCTTTGCTGATGATAAAACGTTTGCAAACAAATTAACAAGCTTGAGGAACAGGCGAAATGGAATTCCGTTCACCCGAGCAACGAGGACTCATTTTCAATACGTTGTCAAAAGTTCACCAGTTTATATATTAAACTTCTGAAGAAAAAACATTTACTTTGAGATGGTTCGTTTAGATCTGCTACGTGGAACAAAACTGGACAAAATTAGACATCCTAGTGTAAAGCGTTATTACCAGGATGATGAATAATAACAAATCTTAATGCCAAAGTTATGATCCGGACAACTCATAGGAAAGGGAAAGCTGAAAATGTGGGTGCGAATACCACACTTTTTCAATGCCCTCAGTATTTTTGGTTTATTTCGGACCTACAAGAAACTGTATTCGCCACTATACTATACTATACCCAGATGATCAAATGCATCGCTTGCTTAGTTAGATAGTGTTTAACCCGAGTCTGTAAATGTACATGATGCTGGAAAATTACTCACCAGATGCTGAGCTAGCTGGGTGAAGAGCTGGTGTGAATTCGATGTTCAGCTAGGTTAAGACGTCCGGTGAAGTTTAATCGTTCCGTTGTATATGGTACTAGGTCGTTGGCGCCCACAGTACATCCAGTACCATGGAAGGATGGGATTCGGTCGAGTGTTGTGCCGTTCTGTGGAGTCAACGCCATACGAGTTCGATCCAGTTGTGCGCGTAAACTGTCTTGTAAACGATGCAGTGTTTGTTCCACATCAAATAAGTGGCCAGCTACATTAGAAGCTGCGTGCCGAGAGTGTTTATCATCCATTCCGGATCGTGTGGGATGATGAACAACAAAAGGTGAATGAGCAGCAGAATTGCGCCAGTGATGCTTTTTTTGGGACCAATGACGTGTATGTGAATATGCATCTGCGGGCGGACGATGACCCGAAGATACACGACGCCGATCCCACTCGTATGAACGTGCCTCTTGCCAATGACGAATCTCCTGATCGCGCTTTATGAAATACTCCAAAGAGTTAGTCTCTGGGATATGTTCTACATTGCCATAAGTAGATGACACGTCCGACCCAGAGAGGCGCCGCTGAGGACCTGAGTCTACTGGACTCGAAGAGATCTCATAATCCACGGCGGTATTAACCGATAAAGCCGGCCGGATTGGTGGTGGCGGCGGTGGAGGAGGTGGCGGTGAACAGTGGTTCGGACTGCCAGTTGAAGCTGACAATGAGGAAGAG